ACTTTATTGAAGAAGAATTCCGACAGTTGCATAATGGCGTAGATATACCATGTTATAATCGTTAGAACAATTTATTGTTGAAAGTATCTTACTTTGATCTTTATTTATACCACATAGAAGTAAATGAGAATTATATGAGGCGACCAGGTGTGTAATTGATTTAAAGTGTTGCAAACAGTTTTCACATACAATCAATTTCTAGACGATTAAAAATTCTAGTACACTTTGTAAAACGTGCTGCACATATATGTCTAGAATTTACTAGTTTCAAACCAATGTCTATGAAATGAATTGAGGAAACAAAGTATCAAATTATCAGCACGAAATGGATTTAAATTATTGTTATAATTGAGGGTTTAAGTGATTTTTTTAAATAAATTGTACCATTATTTAAAAACGAATTGTTTTTCACGCTCCACTGTATTGCGCCTAAATATGAATACATGTATACATACAAATATTATTAGTAAATATTTTTATTTATTTATTTTTGTGCATATAAGTGTGTATTATGTGTCATCTTTTTCACAATACCTGCATGTTTGAAGGGTTTCAAAACTTTCAACTTATCTATGATATGATAGTGGATGAGAAATAACATTGTTTGACATCTTGATTTACAACTTTACACTATCTTGTACCACTGACATAGAAGGAACAGACATAGAAAGATCTGTTAAAAGGGATATCTCATCACCCCCACACCGTCTTCATCGTGAATCATAATCATGTTGGTTTAAATCAGAGGCAATCGATGTCGTGGGCTATTTTCTTGAACTTGCCACAACGGATTGTTTCACGAGTAATGACAATCAGTTCACGAATATCATTAAGATTGTTTTAATTATTGAGGTCTTTTAGAAGCAAAAGAAACAAATCATCCGATTCGATTTCAGTGAGTCTATTAAAGTGAGGAAATGATAGAGTAAATCATGATCACCTATCACGCTCCCTATCACCGGCTAGTCATTTTATGCTCCTATTTCGTTGATGTCGGTAAGTATTTTTATTTTTGAAGTTAAATCGCCTCATTAATAAATTTTACTTTGTAAATAGTTTAGTGATTCTAGAAAAATGAATACAAAACCCATTGAAATGTGCAGTCATCGTACATATTTCAGTAAATGCAGGTCGTTTTCGTTTATAATCGACATTCTTCTCAATTTGTCTGATCATTTTATGTTATTATTGCAATCAGAAAACATTACCAGGCATGCTTACATGTATGCGTAACACATCAATTCGTCCTTTATCAAAAGGAAAGCGTTTCTTATATTAACATACGGAAATGTCCGAAGTTTTACGAGAATAAAAAGTCAGCATACGGATTGCTAGAAGCAAGAATATGTGTTCGTCTCTATAAAAGAAGTTTATTTTTCAAGTTCATGTTTTGTTAAACTGTGAACATGAGTAATAAGTAATTGCTTGTATGTTCTTTCTGGCTAATTTGTTATTCACCAACAATGTTAACAGATTGGTTAAAGGAAAATTATGTTGCAAAGCTACAGTCTTATAAACATTAATTTAGAATAAATGAAATATATACACGATTCTAACAACCTAATAGTGCTTGTTCATGAATGTTCATTTATATTTTCACTGTTGTTTTTATGTCAGTATTAATGGAGACTGAAATCAGACAAGTAACTAGATGTAGGTCGCTTATCAGATTAACAGGTAGCATTTAACCGCGGGAAACTGGCTTTAAGTGACAAGATAATGATGATGTATGGATGGTTCTATGTGTCAGTAGAACATGGGCGTGTTCCAGGCGGAAAGTACTTTGTTATAAAGCAGCATGATGTAAGTAGCTAAAAAAAGCTAGTACGTTAAATTTGAACGCCTTTAACGTTAATTTCAGTTATAAAAATAACTATATCATTTATGATTGTTTTTATAGTAAAAATGCGTATACATAGTAATATAATTATGCATGTAACAGCATTTCATACATTCTAAATGCGTTTCGAAGAAAGTTGGGTTTAATATATCTTTATATGTTGTATTCATGTACATGGCAAATATATCTGCCGCTTTTTATTGTACAGATCCTCTTATAAGGTTAAAAAGAAAACTTCACATGTATAAAGAAATGATTATCAATAAAAATAGTTTTAATTGCAATAGTTTTTTTGAAGTTGGTCAACATTGATTTTGATTTCAAGCTTTCAATAAACTAACAATACTTTAAATTAGCTAAATTAAGGGCTTGATTTTTGGTAGGCATACTAAGCTGGAAAGGTTACACATAACAATGACAATATCGTGACTTTAAACCTACAATTCCGATGAATCTTTATGAACAACCTTAAAATGATAAAAAAGATAAAAATCTAAAGATAGAACGAAACGAAGGAGAAGAAAAGAAATATGTTTGTGGTGTAAAACGTGGCTTTATTTTTTTCTTTCCTTAGTGAAATAATGCTCTGAGTTGAGTAGCAGAGCAAAATCAAGTTGAAGTACACAAAAACGTTATAAAGATTTTAAAATTCAATTAATGACTTTACTTCAAAACATCAAAGGTATCAGCCACCAGGTAGGTATACATAAAACACTGGCAATACTTTCAGACGTAGACTTGCTAATTCAATTATGTCTGACGATTCCCAGGCTATAAAAGCAAAATGAAAATGACATTTGTTTTATTAAGCACCGGAAGAGAAAAAAACCAACTACTTATTGCTGGGATGGAATGATGTTGCTGTTAATATCATACGTTAAACTGCATTTGTGGCGGGCCGCACGATTTTTGACTGTTCTTATTAGTTTGTTTACCTTCGTATTTTCTTTTTTTTCTTTTTATTTGCTTTTATTTGCTAGACAGGTATCCGACAATTTTCAATTTCTAATGTCTGTAGAGTTTTTCTTGTAAACAAGGATCGCATGGTAGATTTCAGTTTTATCGAGGGACTGTTTCAAAAACATGAAAGCCCGAAGCATATTGGAATTATTTTTTCGTCCTATTGAATTGCTCGCTTACCAGTGTCGGTTTCATACAAGATATCGACTTTGTGAACCTACTAGGGCTCGATCGCAAGTCAGTGATCAATATGTCGGAAGTCGAAATTAACAGCTGGGTTATTCCTTCATTTTATTCTTCATAAAAAACAATTACCTTTTTTATGTGAAATTCTTTCCTTTTTTGAGCTTATCCCTGTTGATGGTTCAATGATTTTTTAAAACCAACAGGTATGAATAATTATTATGATGCTCGACGTTCAACATATAGTAGAGTCATGGCATTAGAAGCACCATTTAGCTGCTGTTTGTTTAATTTCCTGTTATTTTTGAGAATCTTTTATAATTGATAACATATGTTTTATATATCAGGCAGATACACAATACATTAACAGAGATTAAACAATCATTTCATCTGATCTTACTTATTTATTTATCAGAAACGATGGTTTGCTCGGAAATCTTACGTTTCCAAAAAGGTCTTCAAAAACTGTGTTGTAATTAGAATGATAAAACTTATTTTGAAATAAAAAACGTTTTTGAATTTGATTTTTTAGCGTCAAGTCTATGAAATAGATAATTAAAAAAATATTACAAAAACAAAATAAAATTAGTAAAAAGAATAAGTAAATGAATGAACAGAATAAAACAAATAAGACTTCATAAGAGATATGCACTCATTTTCAATATAGGGGAACGTCTTCATTGTATTTGACTTAATATGAATAAAAATATAAATAGATATATATTCAATTGTAAAAGATGAGAGACAGAGCCGCCTTTCAGTCATTGATTAATATCTTACATCATAATATCAATCAATATTATAATGATATTTCTAATCATCACATTCTGGATAACTGGCTGTTTGAAAGTTAGAAAGTATTAAACCGTCGGTGAAAAATGTCAGTATCATATTTTTCTTACATATATATTGTCGACTGTCAATATAAACTGTAACGTCAGAGATCTTTACACAAAGGATATATTGTTTTAGAGTTTGGTTAAAAGTCACCTGATTTCGCCCACTTGTACTATTGCTTTTCTTTTGTTAATTTGTAAAATTTAGTAAAATAAAAGCATTACATAGACCACACCCTTTACATTGTTATAAAATGGAGCATTGTTCTCCTTTTAATTAACGTTATTAACTGTTTTGTGTTTAACTTGATACTTCTCTATTTATAGTGCAATTTTGTCGTACTAAATCATCACTTTTTGTATTGTAACTGCATGTTGCTAAAAAGCTTTTTTCGATGCACATACCGCATTAATAACTTTTCTATCTTGAGAAAATATTAGAAAAGATAGTTTAACGTCTCAATTCCGACTAAAAGGACGCAAAGAAAAAAAGGAATTGATAAAAGATTGAACTTGATTTTCTGTCAGAATGTTAGCCACTTTCATGGTATTTCTGCCATCGACGGCAGCATTTATAATATGTATCTGCCTACAACGGCAGCATTTTTTCTTCGACCGGATAAGATTGAGCGTCTGTAAAACTTTCAAGAAAAGACTCACGGGGTAAATATTTGGCTTGCGTTACCCCAATGGATGAACGTCTATGTTGATAACAGGAAATCCTGCCATTTACTTCAAACTTGAGATATTTTGAACAGAAAACAGACATTTTCAGGGATTTTTCCGAGGCTGTCACTTTTAACCTGCTCAAAATAGTCTTAAAACAGAAAAAAAACCAGTCCAAAATTACCTTACAGTATCTCCATTCAATGGACAATAGTTTTATAGCAATGAAATGGGCCGTATTTGTGTAATATAATTAAACCAACCAAATTTATAACATACCTGTATCGATCGGTATTTTTCAGATATCTGCCATCACTGCCGTGATTTGCCATCACTGCCGCCGGTAATACGGTGTTTTAATATACATGTACATGTATTATTCAGATTATTTATACTGTTTAAACTTGAAATTACCAGGTTTTGTCATATATGTATGGGAACCTAGGCACGTTATTCAGAATAAACATTTTGTAGACATAACATAACACGTTTTTTATTAACAATAATCATTACATACAATTTTCAAAATAGGCGCACACTGATTCAAAATAATGAAACAATATGAGTTTCTTTTCGCGTTGGAAGTTGTAACAATAATTTGCGAAAAGCGACAATGAAGAAGCGTGTGCTTAAAACATAAACTTAAGAATTAAGAGCTACGTATTTCTATTTAAAATGTGATTTTAAAAGCATAGTAAATGAATTTCTATGTATTTGCCAGTAGTTTTGTATCTGGGATTTTCAAATTCTTGTATACACTTCCAATATTAGAATAATTGTATATATATGTATATAAATTCTTTCACAGGAATGGCAATAAAAGAACGACATTGTCATGAAATCCTATGATGTAATTTCCTCCACTGACGAGCTCAATCCAGTATCTGTTATTGTGGTGTTTGTAGTTTAAAGGAAATAATTTAATTGATAACATGTCTTTGTAACTAGATAAGTAAAGTTTATCAGGTCTCTCTGGAATGCGTCTTGTTTTTACCTGAAACACGAGAATATTAAGATATAACACGAAATCAAAATTGTCGGAAACAAACGGTCACATGACTCCGAAATATTAAAAAACAAAATCAACAATAGGATGGAAATTCGGATTTCAAAATACCCGGTACATGCTGACACTTTAAGAAGTTAAAAACCGGCTAACAAATATATTAAAGTCAACAAGGAAACGAATCGATTGAAAATTGTAATGTTTCAGTAGTTTCATAATTACTTTGCATGATATCTGCATTTATACATTGTTCAAAATACGGATTACGGTGATAGTGTTAGAAAATGTTTAGAATCTCTCTTGTGGATATGAAGTTGAAAGTTTGAAGTTAGTTGCCCCTGAATATGCAGACTTGGTCGACCTTTACTCGACTTTCGTTTCCACATGTAACATGTAATGGTGAACGTGAGATTGTTCCATTGCAATTAAAAGTGATACACATTTAAATTTATTGTAAAAAGTAGTAATTTATAGTACCTTTTCTTTGGCGTTTTTCTTTTCTATTTCTTGTATTACTTTTATTGTTTTTATATTTTTTCTTTATTTTAGATGTTCTACCTCTTTCTCTACATGAAAGATGTCCATTTTTACAGCGACTGCAAAAAGTAAACAAGTATATTTGGTTGCATAAAAATCTTTTAAATAAATGGCAATGCTATGCATTTTTTAAACGTCTTTTTATATTTGAAATGATCTTAAATTGACAAAAGTTCTTTCCTGTTCGTGGCTATTTAAGCTGTCAGTTAATGAATTGCTGACAAGAACAAAAAGTCATAACGTCAATTTGCATAAGTTTCCACATACAATGTACAATGTTCTAAATTGTCTGAAGTTATTATATGTTACCTATTTTTGTTGAATAGTTTTCAATCTCTACAAGTATGAACCAAATGACCAGTACAAAAGTATTGCGACACTTAGCATTCATTTTCAGAGTTTTCACTCACGGACATTTCTACTGCTATCGATAAGCTTTTTTTTAACTTTTAACATTTCTATAGTAAGCAAAACGATGTTTTTGACTTACCAAAATTTATCTTTCAGTTGTATTTTTGCACCATGTAATAATATAACATCGTCAACTGCACACGTCTTTCTCTTTTTCAATGATGATGTAATTACAAGATTATCTTCTCCAGGGGAATCTTCAAAAAACCATAAAAAATAATTATACATCATTCCTCGAAACTAAAAAAAAATTGAAAGGTGATAACAAAGGAACATATCTCTATTGGGGTTTTATGTTTGCGATTTTCAAATCTAAAGTTATGGAAAAAAAAGCAGAATTTCGTTCTTCAAAACTAACTATTGGATGCAAAATTACATAACTCATCAAACAATAGTATAGTTTGATATATATGATGGTAACTGACAGTTAAAAAGTAGTAATCAACTTCTGAATTAAGATGACACACAGTTTGATAATTGTAGCCCGGTTCAATTAAATAACTTGCTTGCTATAAAATTGCATTGGTCTACAATGCGCATCTTTTCCGGAAAATTAAATAGTCAAACTAAGATTTGCTGGCAATATATCCAGACATCAGCTTCATGCCACGTGGATATTATTACTTTTAAAATTCTTGATGTATAACTCCGAGGGCTAACACAAATTAAAATCTCCTTTATATAAAACAGATATTGTCTTACATTTTTCTTCGTTATGTTTTACGCAATATCCGCTGTTTGGTATTCCATCCTTTATATTTCCAGGATCAGTCACGTGACAGAAATATCCCTGGGGGCATAATAGAGGGTCCTCGTCAGATTCAATGGGACTGGTGCTGCATGTTTCAACTGCAAATAATTATGTTTGGATAGGACCATTATAAACTAAATAAAGATAACAACGCGTGTTTACTTTTTGAGATAAATTAATATTATTAATAATGTTATGAAACAATAAAATCGTTTGTTTTGTTAAAGAAAGGGAAAAGATATTGACTTGCAATAAAAAGTGCAAGAAACACCAATACCAGCACCGACTTAAGCAGTTTTCAATCTTTAACTTCGATACTAATGGAGTTTATGTTACAGAAACGTCATAAAATGGAATAGGATCATGGTTTATATTTCACTTTTATTCAGTTATGTACGGGGGGATAACTAAACAAGATATGCGTATTTAAAAAAAAGATCAAATCATTTATCTGACAAATGCAATTATATCTTAAAATATCAAACTGACAATATTGACAAAACTAAAATAACAGTACCATTACCTTCATTGGAGGAATCGTCATTAATTGGTCTGTTGATCAACCAGGATATTCCTTAAAATAATGTACAATAAATAAAATGCTTGAATTCAATCAATCAATCAATAAATCAATCAGTCGTCATAACATATGCTAAAATTTATTTATCTGTGACCAAATGAATTGTAAACTATAAGAAATGATTAAATTGGTACTTAGCGCTGTATATCATGTTACACAAAAACTTATGTAAAAAATTACACATTAAAATGATCAAAACTGAAATAAAATATAAAAGAAGTCGTCATTTAAGAAAATAATTAAAGTACAGATTTAGATTACTAGTGCCTTACCAGATCTTGATCTTCTTGGTTCCTTCCGCCAGTCGACAACTAACAAAGAAAACAACACTTACTAACATTTGATAAATAAGTTCAATACCAACTGAGATTCTTAATTTATATTAAAACAGATTTATGATTTATTATCTTTAAAAAACACTGAAACCAAAGTAAAGCGATTGGCCATTTTAACTACTTGACCATTTTAACTGTGGTTAAAATATTTCATCATTTTACAAAAAGATATTTTAATGACCTAATGCGTTTCCATTTTGTTTCTTAAAGGAAAAGAAATCTTGCTAAAATTGAGTCTTCTTGGAAAAGAAAGAATTCATTTTGTAATAATCTGACGATGCAAAATTTTTACTCATAATTGACAATTTTGAGAAGGAATCAAATAATAAGGAATTACGAGCGGCTGGTTGAACTTCACGAAGGCACGTAAAAGAGCATCCGGTAAAACAACAACTGTATCCATCCGAACAATCGGTATCTCTTTGACACGAATTATGTGCGCATGCGTCATTTGATACAACATCCGGAACCGGCGGACACACATCTTCCGACGCCATATTTGGAGCAGCAGGAGCATCTGATTGGTAATCGTCATAAAATATCTGAAAATATATAGAGACAATTATAAGAAATATCTATCAAAATGAACATGATAACTCGTGATTATCTGGTATATGCCTATTTCCAGTTTTGTTTTTTATTCTTTATATTTCTTTCATTTTGGCGTAGTATCTATTTTTGAACTAACATAGTTTCACTTTGTAGGCTTGGATCATATTTCTTATATTAATTTCTTCGCATGACTACGACCTACGATATTCGCAAGTAAAACTGTATCAAAAAGGTTCTTGATTATGAATATGCTTTAAATTTTACAAAAATATACCATAAATTGAATAATAGTACATGCAGTACAATTAAAGATGTAAATGTAAACTGAATATTGTAAATATGTAATGAAAATAAACAGATGTTTAAAAAACCCATGAAACTGACAATGTAAAATGCATATTGCACTTTTAACTTTCTTTGATAAAAAAGTTAAAATATGTCATTGTATTTGGTGACTGGAAATAAGGGGCCTAATAGTTGCCGTAGGATAATGTTTATAATGATGAAGATATTCTATAATTATTTAGAAGTATCATGTTTGAAACAAATTCCACTCAGGCACTATCTTTAAATATTTTGATCGTTGCATCACATTCCAATTCGAGCTAATTATTGATATGTGACCAAATTATTTCAACTTATTTATCCCCTTTAATCCACTACAGTGTATTCTCTTATCTTATAGAAAATCATTTAAAGAATATTTAAACATGCGTATATTATACCTGAACTTGCGTGTCACATTTTAATACCGGTCAAATAAAGAATAGAGTAGAATTTATTGTAACTTATTATTGACACCATTACATGAAATAATATCGCTTGTATAAGAAATGCATCTTTCACCAGATAGTTTCAACCGATATTACTTTGTATTATCTGTATTATAACCTTATTAAATAAGCAAGAAATTTGAACAGTATTCCCTGTTATTACGAACTATGGACAACAAGATAATTCTGTCCTCCAGACTCTCCTAAATTGGTATTATCGCATTTATTTATCCGCATTTTCTTCGTCTTAATGTGACATTAAACATGTATGTTTTAGGACAATTGGTTTATTTGTATTATTTTAGTGATATGGGCCACAAAATGTGCATTATTGATAGATAAAGACATTTTTATAGATATCAACTATAATGTTTACCTATTATAGTAAGTGTACTGAAGAAAGTATAAATTTCAAACCAATGTTCAATAAAATATGCAAATGAATCAGAAACACTATTTTTTATATTTTAAACAAATTATACAGTTTTAATACTGTAACAAACGAAAGAGAGAGAGAGAGATTTTTTTTTCAAAGTAGAATGATAAAATAATCCATCTTTATTTTAATATTCCCTACAATAAACTGTTGATTAGATTTCAGACACAACTATGCACGGGGATGTAAATATGCAGATTCCTGTCAGAATCAGCAATTTAAGAGACGTAAAGGCTGTTACAAGATAAAACACTTGTTTTCTAACACCTGTTAGACTTTTCATGAAGCAAGATATTCGTTACGTCTCGATCTTTTTCTATTAAATTGGCTAGTTTGGATGAAATTAATCAGACTAACATATTTTTTTTTATTTTCTGGCAATTCAAAAATTATCTTTAAAACAGAAAAGGACACTTCTATTATAAATTCTGAAATTCTGAAATTTATTCGAATTTCTTTATCATTTGATTAGATAAATGTCACTGTTATTATATTCCATGTCCAGTGTTAACTAAGGGACGTTTTTATTAACGCTTTAAACTTGTATAAATTTAGCAACATCCCCCAGAAAAGATAAAAATACCATTGACCAAGAATAATCAATTTATTGTGCAAAATGACCCAAAACTTAAATGCGTTTCAACACTTTTCGTTAAAATCGAGCTAAAAATCGCGCAAAAAACAACGATATTCAATTCAGTTAGGAAAGAAAACGATTAGTCTGGTTCGAATATTTTTTCACTTAAAGCGCTTCACTTGATCTATTCCATTTTAGGCCTTTAAGCTCAGTAGGGCTCCTTTTATACCTTCTGCAAAACAAACTCACAATATTCATTTATACCTTATTTTCATCTTCATATTGAAAATATTACTTTATTTCTCGTTCAAAGTTATAAAGTTACTTCCAAAAATACTTCAAATATTCCGATTAAAATCTTTTAATGTAGGTGAAAATAACTTTTAAAAATCTGCAAACATAGTAGAGGAAAACGGAAAACATAACGAACACACAAAATGACAGATTGAAAATGTTGCAGGCTCGGTTTGATTGAGGCTATACATGGACGGTACTGTCAAGTGGAAGCAAAATTTATCATTTAAACATGTAAAATGAAAACATAATATTCTTGACATTGCTTGCATTTGTCTATTTTTTTGAAAAATAACATTCACATTCAGAATATCAATGCATATTTTATTTATAAATTTCAAGCAAATCACTTACAAATTTTATAAATCAACAACGGAAGGACCTTCTTTGAGCATTATAGTCGACCATTGTATTAGACATGACAAAATCAAATGCACATCATTTTAACATTAAAGTGAGCTGCACAAGAAAATCTCGCAGAAAAACAAAATGTCTATAAAGACTCTTAATCTATATAGTAACGGTTATCTAAGATTTTAGATGGTTTTACACTCAAATTGTTAAAATCTAGATTTGAAGTTAAAGAGAAATGTCGCTTTAATCTTGTATATAAATTGTAGAGAAGGCGCAGACGGTTTGTTCTAGTTGGCAATCATTCCATCAGACAATTGTCAATAAACATTTTATGTTCGCACATCTGTCTTCAACGTTTGACATTGCGTATGATTTACTATAACACATAGTTTTGTCTGGCAATGAGGAAACGCAGTTTAGCGGATATACAGGAGATTTTTTTTTCATAGTAGAACTATCTTTCATCGCTTTGTCTCGTTTTGTGTTACGTTTTCATTGTTTTCTTCTTCATTCATTTGTTCTATCTAAAAGTTTGAGTTGTTTTTACAAAAAAAGTTTTTATCTGTGCATGAAAATATATTGCTTTTAAACCTAACGCAATAAGAAAATGGAAAATGTATTATACCATTTTTAACTGAAAACGCAAAAAGCAAACAAAAAAAAGTTAAATATATGTACATGAATTAAACATGATAATATCATATCAAAAGTCGTGGCCATTTTTGACGAACTAAATGAATACTTTATGGCTGCAATGAAGATTTGTGTTTTTAAATTAATAGAATTTACACAATTTACGTAACAGAATTATTTGATAAAGGATCAATTCTTTAAGGTATGGTGCCTTGAAAAACAATTTTCAATAGCCGTGCAAGAATTGTCAAAGTAACATATATAGATGAATAGTTGTAAAAATAATAGACTGGTGTAGTTCGATTTCATACTTATATCCTCGTTTCGTTTATCTTTAGAATGGACCAGTCTTATGCTGACTCAAAAATAAATGTCAATTGTAAATTGAAAGGATTTCGCTTAAAAAATTATAGCAAGAACGTGTACGTATTGATTTTTAAAAAAAGATATATAACTGCAATTTAATAATTTACTTTGGACATTTTTATTCAGTTACATTTTAATAATAAACATTTAACTATTGTAGCGTTAATGTATCTTTTTGCAATATTGCTGATAAAAGAAAATAAGCGGTAATATTTTTTATATAATAAAATCAATGACTATATAAGGACCTCGATTATTATTAGACGTTCTTTTATATTTCTCTTAATAATATCCATATCAAAATTCATATTATTCTTACCGCATCTACGAGCCATTTTTCAGGAACATTTTCATTTGTATTCCCCCCTGAATCACTTTTATTTTCTTCATTTAATCTTGACTTTTTTCTAACTCCATTCCCCTTCTTTCCTTTAAGTATAGCTTTCAAATCAGGGTCAGGTAAAATTTGTGCACCAAACAATGTCCCAGTCGTCTGAAGGACTAAAATCAACGTTAAAATCATATTTTAATTTTATCATAAACTTTTTATCACAATAACCTTTTTCCTTTATTTATTTTCGAATTTAATAAATTGCTGAATCTTTCATATTTAAAGATTATCAGCTAGTAAGAAAAATAGCATTATATTCGTCAAATTTCAAAATTGCGTTCAAACACTTCGATCAATATAGATGATTTAAATATAAATATTTATCAATAAATCCCGTTAGCCCTCTCAAACATCTCACGTATTCCTTTAAAACAAAACACTGATTGAAACATACGTGTCTATAATCCATGCCGGTATCTTCACATACCTACATTGGCAGGTATTCGTCTCTCAAACTTCACCTATCAACTGATGGAGAAATTTTCCTGATACTGTGGTAATTTAAGCTAAATTAGTCGCATTAACCCGCTACAGTCTACCTCTTATCCTAAATACACGACGTTGATAGTCTGATAAATCACCCTTGATTTAAACACTGTTAAACTAATTTGCTACCTGAGTCCTTTTATCTAATAGTATGATAGAATTAACAAATAAAAGATATCGTAATTCCACAATAAACAAAACCTCCTTTTTTCCTTTTTAGACGAATTTCGGGACAAAATCCGATGATTATTCCTAATTAATTATAATTCTGGCAGAAAAAGCGAGACATTTTCTTTTGTATCGTTTAAAACAGTAAAAAACACAATAAATCAATATGGACAAAAACGCCTATGCGTGCACAAATGCGTGCGATTATCAATTAAACAACTGAAAAGTGCAGTTATGTGTTACAAAGAAACATTATTTTCGTTTCGCTACAACAAAGTTTACATAACAGTATAGTTATTCAAACTTTCAATTTATAATTTGTTCAGGTTTGTGCGTCGGTTACTTATTCATACATGCAATTGCGTGATTAATTCATCAACTATGAATAAAATTAATAATGATTACATCAAAACTCACCAGATGCATGACAAACACGCTAAACTTGGGTTTCTAAGTTTTCAAGGGTCATTGCTCGAGCAAATATGGGGCATTGGGCAAGTATAAAAATAATTTTATGTCTTCAATATTCAAGTGGTTGATATAATTTAAAAAGTAAAACAAAATGATTTTAGTATGATCATATTCATAGTTATTATAGAGATATATTAAACATAAGTAAAACTTTAAATTACTTTCTAACTTTTCAATTAGATTCAACATAACATAGTAAACAGAATTATTGTTGTAATTAAGAGCTAAATGTCATAAAAAATCCTACATCATTTTAGAGAAATAAAATTTCTAAATTGATGCGTTATCCGTATAGTTACCAGGATTTTACACTTAATTTAGCAAACACAGAATGTATTATTTAGTTAAATTGATTACAAAACAATCCTTCTGTATTGAAACAAAACATTTTTAAAAAAGTAAAATTTTATATCAAATGAACATTGTGAATTGCCAATTTTTAGAAAATAGGGTATCGGTTAATGTGTATAACAGTTGAAATCTAACCTGGAAATATTAAAGGGAAGATTTTAAGTTGGAAAATAACAAATTCAGGTCATTCAAAATCATTTAATACTTCAAACTTGTATGAAAAAATATACATTTGTGGATATTTTTCAATTCTTTATGTTAATCATTTGATGAAATAAAAATACAAACGTATATATTAATTGATGTTTATCATACATAGAACTATATGAACAATAATTATGGAAATTAAACTCAAAGCAAAATTTGAGTTATAACATCATTATGCTTTGAAGCTGCATACGTGTCTTTCTTTACTATTTACAAATATCCATAGATTGTTACTTTGAAACAGAAATCATAGTATTTCCTGTTTGAATACGTAAACTGTTTCCATAAGTAAGTACATATGTTGTAACCTCTAGCCTCTTTCTGGCAAAATGGTCTATCCATGCAAACAGTGCAAACCATGATTATATAATCGACCGGAACATCCGTTCACTGTCTGCACTGTTCGCTTTTCCGTCAGTATATATTTGGAAGAAAAAAAAATTCCAATAAAGATCATTGGTTCTGTCCAGATTTGAAGATAAACATGTACATTTAAGTTAAGGTTTTACATTGGTTAATATATTTACTAGTATATTAACATAATGAATTTTCATGTTCTTACCAGTTGTGTTATATACAATTAGGTCCATAAACATTTTATTTCCAGTAAGCAATATTTGGACTAGACGATTACACGTAAACATCCTTAATCATTTAGTAATTGACCCTGTCAATACAGCATGTTTATTTTGGATGCCCTGCAGTAACATACCAACATGTCTTGATTGTAAAAATAACAAGAAGCGCGTCTTTACTGCTCAATATATTTTTCTGGGGATGAATGTATACCGCTCTAACTCTTCGTCATTTCATGTTTTTAATTTTCTCTTATCGTTATTATTTTCCATTATATAAAGTCTGTAATTTGTAAAATGATAAAACGAAAATGAGTGTGTTCTTCTATCGTTTTATGTTTCTGTGTTAACCTTTCTATGTTTTTGTGTCCTCATTCCATTTTAAATTTTAATCAGGAGGAGATACATTACATTTCTTTCATTCTTACAAATGTGTTTCTGAATTAGACAAAGAATCATAACATGTCTTACTAATATTTAAATATTTCATCTTGTCACCGATTCTATCCGGGAATAAGGTATAATTTCTCCGTGACAATTGGTCACGGACATTGAGTCTTATGGTTATTTCCCCCCACCGCAGAATCAGAAATCATGCGGGACTAGTAACATGTAATCGGCGTTTCAACAAACCAGTTAGCCATTTATTTATCCATTTTCATTTAATCATGTATGTATCGTTTCATTCATTTTTTTTAATTTCATAAAATCATTTTTCTCTGATATTTAAGAATTTCATTTTCGACTTTTAAGTTTAATACCTCAGTTGTGACGCATATTTGTTGCCTCTTGCAAAAGAAACAGTAACCATATGCAATACGGATATAAATTTTCTTTGTCTCAAAAATAAACAGTTTCCATTTCAGCAAATTAACAACGTGGTGTAAAAACAGGTGTTTATAAAACAATAAAACAGATACATTAGTTGTTTTCAGTTCAACAAGTTCTGATTATTTACGTCTATTTAACTGGAGTGCAGGTATTAGTTACCTGCACTCCAGAGTATGCTCAATGATTGGTTCATTTTGTCTGGGGTTTACATAATTATTGTGACGACAGAGAAAGGAATAGCGATAGAAATATCATTTTCAGATGCTGGTTCATTGGTTTCTTTTTTCTGGGGTTTCATATTATGACATAAGGAAACGTGTTTTAATTTTTGAATATGATACAAAAGAGAAAGAACATCAAAACAATCGGCAAGCTGATTTATACTCGGGGGCTACGCCTACTCGTACAAAACAGATTGCCTCGTGTGTAGATGCTCTTTATATTATATATTACTACTTTTGTTGTATTTTAGTATATTACATACAAAACACATATGATACCTGTAACAATATTTTAATTAAGTATATCCATGTTTCGAAATATGTTTCATCTTGTGAACACTAAAAGTTCATGTTTGTGAGATTAGCTACTTACACAGTACAGTGCAGTGCGGTGCGATGTACAGTGCTGTGCTGTACTTTACTGTACTATACTGTGTGTTACTGTATTGTATTGAAGTATACCTTTTGGTGCTCACTCGGTGAAGTTTATTTCGATCTTATACTGAACTAAACAAATATCCTCTATATATAAGCTTTTTCTAAAATAACTTGGCGCAACTCTATAACAGTGTTAATTACTTGTATTGTAAATGTATTAAGTGCCGGTGTTTTTATTGTTATTATTTCTGTCGGTGGAACCATTTCATATCTATTGCTATTGCATATTTGTACACTTTCTACAGTTAATTAGATTCTCTATAATTATTAACATGCATAACTATTCTACCGTTTCAAAATAAATCGTCTAATGATGTCGGGCTATACCGTATTGACACCGAAGTCGTTCTCGGCTTCTTTCGACATGAATCTTATACCTATTTGTGGTATATTGTGTCACAGAAGAGGGCGATTTCAACGTTGACTACCCTGCTTAAGAAACAAAACCTACCCAGCAACTAGCATAATATATACTTATTCGTTTCTGATATACTTACAGCTACACATTGTTATAGACAAACTGTTTAGAATACAAAAGTAAGTCTAGAACGCATCTATATCCAACGTAAAAACGACTAAAATGCATTTTTTGCAATAAACAGACAAACATTTTGAAAACAACTGACCAAGTCTCCTCGATGCGATTTATGTTTTCAAGGAGTTATGAAATAACACAATTTTTATACCGCCACATATTACGGAAATGAAATCCGTCGAGTAATTAATCATCTATCTGCAATATGACAGTATGAGAATCTAGAACATTCGTATAGATATATATTTATAGGATACCATAAATCTCATAATCTATTTTCAGGAGTGTTATGAGACAGAAATGCTAATAAAGTTGTCATTTGAAGCTTCATAACAGAGACAACTCATATTTCACACCTGTCCTTGAATAACTTATGTTAAGACTCTGAAAAGAAGAGCAATGTAAACAAAGTTGATAAGTAATGATTGCAAATACGAATTGGCTGACGTTACTGGTTATAGATACATTAGGACTAAAATTAACTGTCATGAATGTTGTTAAGATGTTTACTTATCTTAGTTATTTAAAAAAATATCAGCGTCCACACAAACTGCAGCATGATACACAAAGACAAAATACCCAATAAACCTAAAAACGGCCGACTTCTTGAGAAATAATTTTAATGCGACTTTTATAATCGAATTATTGATCTCAGTTGGAGTCATTGGTTACCGTAAAAAATTAAAATTGTTTATCACATGCTTTTAGAGGTTTGAGTACTACAATGGTTTGAACATATGTCAGATTATTAAGAAAAAATGTTGTATTGTTCCTATTTGTATGTTTCGAGCTCACTTAAGTTTGTACACAAATAATTGTTTGTTTGTTATTGTTTGATTGGATTTTACGTCGCACCCACACAGTATAGGTAATATAGCGACGTTCCATTTTTTCTGGTGGAGGAAGACCTCGGGTGCCCTTCCGCGCATAATTTCAGGCACGAACGGGCACCTGAGTAGAACCACCGACGTTCCGTAAGCTAGCTGAATAGCTTTCTCACATGAAAGAATCCAAAGTCCCTGTCGGGATTCGAACCCACAGCGGTGAGGGGAAAGTGGTTTGAAGTCAACAACCTACATACAAAGAGTCAATTAATAACTACACATCTGTCTTCAGGTTTCACTTCATTTTAACTTCACAATGTAATAAAAATGTCAAATTATTCATTATGCTTGAACCTTTGACTCTGGTAATGTAAATATCGAGATAATTAGCAATTTATGACACACATGGTCAGTTAACATTCCATATGATCTTTTTTTTCTAAACCCTAATGTAAATTCTCTGACCTTATCGTTCTTATTTTAAGAATTTGAACTTATAATGTCTTATTGAAGTAAATGTTTTATTCCATATCTTTTGCCAAAATATGGTTAGGTTTTGTCAAGTACGAGTTGGAACTTCGGCAAATGATAAGAATAACACTTGGCTACATTGCTATTCAACAAAAACAATGCATTATTTATTGGTTTGTAAAATCTTTAGAAAGACATTAGCGGAATGTAATGCTTTTAAAGAAAAATAACCTCTTAAATATTTTTGTTATAACAGACTGAAAAGTAAAAATATATGTCCCCATATTTGAACAGTCTTTGTTAAAAAACACATTTCTTTTATGTATATCATTTATTCATTGGATGTTCTAATATATGCTGAACAGATAACTTATTTTGTGTTAATTATTACTTTCTTGTTATATATTTTTGATATTATAAACTTCTCCAACAATTTATGCAATATCTTTTCTTCTTCTTTTTAAAGATTAAGAGCAGAAAATAAAAATTTAGATACTATCTTATCCTGTGCTAAGCAACAACAGTCATATAAGTTTTTAAATAAAGTTTAAGGTAAATTTACATCTTCAATGTATTTGAAAAATATATTATTTTTAAATTAATAATTTCATGAAAATCAAGCTGCGATCCTTCAGATTATTAAGAAAGCAATGCCGTCATTACAACTTTTTTATGATGGTCCCTCTGTTTGTTTTTGTTAGCTTTTAATGTTTTATGCCAAATTATCTGCCTAGCAAACAAATGCCAATTGCCAATCAAGCTAACACAAATCTTATAGAATATTTTTTTTTTAAATAGTTTTGTAACCACATGTGTTCTTGTACTAATTGGATCGTTGAATTTGTATACCTATATCGTCTCTACAGGCTCCCTGTCATCTGATAAAATGCTATTGTACTTTCTACAATGTTATTAATGTTGATAAAATTTTGTTTTATAAATCGACATATTAACTCAAATTATTTTCCTTGTGTCAACAGAAATAAAAAATGTTTGAATAAAACAGACAAGGCTTTCATACAAATTGTGCTCATGCGATCATTCATGTCTAGTCAAAAGTTTGGTTATAATATATCCAAAGCGTTTCTAATAATGACTCGCTGAGAATAACAACATAAATATGTGTGTCTAAAAGACATACCAAAGCGTAGAACAAAATAAAGTCAGGTCTATGTATCTCTTATACATGTATAAATAATGTCGTGCTTGTTGTATTTAAATCAATTATTTATTTATCAAGGGTGATATGTGTTAATATAAATATTATAAATAAATTAATATTAGCCAATTTTTTCTGCAGAACTTGATATATACAATTGTGGTGCAGATGTTAACATCTGGAGGTAAGTCGCATAATTAGAAGTGTGCAAACGCATCAAGCGAATACCCAGTCGGTAATCCAGTGCACTTGTAATTTTATTTCACTTTCTTGTTATCAAACGATTTCATTCTGCTTTTTCCACACAAAAAAGAAAAAAAAATCCACAATGATACTTTACCAAATTCTAAATTCGGATACAATTATAAAACCAAATGCTAATGTTTTGTGATAACACTTATTCATCAGTAAAATACATTAACAGGCTTTTTGCGCTGCAAGATACATAATGTGAAGACGATTCGGATGATAACATACCGTTATCCTATTTACCTGAATTTTATTTTGTGTTAGTGGTAGAAACACTTACTTGTAATGTAAGGCTGTAAATTATGATGTTAACAATGTTGTTATCATCAGCTTTATATATGTAGATTTGACTGATAAGATAAAAGTAAATTTGTTATATAACTATTCCTTTGTTATATAATTATTCCTTTGAACAAGATCAGATAATAGATAGAAAATATATACTGTAACCAAACTTAGTCTCTTCTCCTTAGGTAGCATTGGAGAGGTAAGTCTGGCTAACAAAGTCCTGCATGAAAGTAACATTCAGCAGGCCCGAAAAAAACACATACGAATACAGTTTCTACTTCTACTTATTTATTTTTCATTTATTTATTTATTCGCAAACACACAAACATATTAAAAGTTATTACACTCAAACTTGACATTATTCAAATATTTACATTAAAACAATATTTCTGATGAATTATACTGAAGTACTCAAATAATTTCTTTTCCATATTTCTATATTTCTCCCTAATCTCCATCCTAATCTAATCTCAAACTCATCTCCCAATCAAAATCTATCTAATCCAAAACTCAATCTAATCTCCAAATCTATCTCAAAATTCTATCCCCATCTCTCCCTTTCTGAGAATAAACCTACTATTTATACTAAAACATAACCCGAAAAGTTCAGGTATACCTGAAGAAATGATTAGTATACTGAAATTGACTAATGTTAAATTATGTTAAATGATATTGCATAAGTAACCCGACAGAAAGTGGGTATGACCTGAAAATGTCATATATTCATTTAGAGTACCTGAAAAGATCAGGTTACCTGGAACTGTAATAAATTGGTATAACAGATTAACATGTATTAGATAATTGACCTGACCAGCTCAGGTATTGTGCTTATCAGAATGATTTATGGTAACCTGAAAATGCAATTAACATCTACAACAAATTAGTAGCACTTGTATTCATTACTGATAAAATGAAGACTCTGTTTTTAATCCAAAGTAAAATTACTCTCCATAATTTATAAACTAAAAAACTGTCACAATACTCATCAGTGACATAATTGTTTTGTTAATATACTAAAACTCATTTTAATGAAGCCTTAAAAAAATGCAAACCATTGCAAAAGCATAACCCTAAAAAAGACCAACGTCAATATTCAAATGTTATGTGACCTTAATATACCATAAACTTGTTATCAGAATGAATTACTATTTCATTTACGCCTAGAATATATCACTTGTCTGTGTAGCTTGTGTAACGTCGATATCTCTAGGAGCCCGCTCGTGCTTGAAATTTCTCACGAGGTCATCCATCTGTAAAGTTGCAAAGTCACCATATGACTTCAAATATCTATATACAATAATTTCAATTAATTTCATGATCATAACATGCAAACATCGATTTTAAACTGGCAAATTGCATTAAGTCAAATGAACTTATTCTAGATACACTTGTGCAGCACGAGGTTGCAGGTGTACTTTAATTAAATGATTAAGCTAGACTTACCTGTAAGGTGAAGGTTAATCATGATTTCATCCACATAAAACTCACTAAGGGCTCACACAGAGAGAAGACGCAGCTATCAGCAGCCAGTGGTCATATTTTAGAGTAAGTAATGCCGAATAATATCGCAAAAATATCAGTTTAAACGGGGAGGTAGCGGGTTGGGTGTGTGAGCCCTTAGTGAGTTTTATGTGGATGAAATCATGATTAACCTTCACCTTACAGGTAAGTCTAGCTTAATCATTTAATTTCATCCTACATATAAACTCACTAATGGGCCCCACAGAGATTTTAGAGTCCTTTTTGCGATATTTTGGAAAGGACATTACGTGCCATCACACGGCATAGTAAATATTTATCTTTCATGTTATTATGAAGAACAACGATTTAATTTCAAGACATAAAGGTCTTTTTGTATTCTGCAATTCGGTAAAAATACATGTTTTTCATATGTTTACAGAATATAAATGCCATGCACAACTATAAAGAAAGTAATTAAATATAGCTATAATTATCACTAGATCTACAGTTTTTGTTTTTTTTGTCCTAATATTATACACTCTAATTAGCAATATCTATGATAGCCTGCATAGATTTTCCATTGGTATTTGATACTGGTTTATCATAATATTTAGCGAATGTCTTAGCATTGCTCCATCCCGCTGATTCAATTATCGTCTGTAACGGGACTCCACGCATGTGTGCGATTGAAGACGCAGCAGCGCGCGTGATATGTGGTTTGAATGATTTATGCACCCCAGCTCTGTGCATAATTAGCTTAATCCAGCGACAAATTGTTTGTTTTGAAACGGCCCCATGAGGCTTGACCGTTGATATCAGTAATTTGTTGGTATTTCTGAGGTCTTTCGTTCTCTGTAAATACTCACTAATGACGCTGACAATACACAAGCGTTTATCTGATTTAAAACTGTCAAACAAAAAGGGTGTCTGATGCCGACCAGGTTTCGATGTTTTTAATAAATGTGGAGTGTTTATTATCAATCTTTCGTCTGAAATATTAATGTCTTCCAAACAAATGAGATGGAGTGTTTGACACCGCTGGGCTGACAACAATAAAAACAACATGCTTAATTTTCCAGCCAAAAATAATAATGTATCATTTTCTGTTTTTGATAAAAAATCTAAAACTGTTCGCACATCCCATATCTCTTTATATCTCGGAAGTGCCGGCCTTGTGTTAAATACACCTTTCATGAACCGTGATATCAGGTTAATTATTATTGCTGAAATCTACGTTTGAAGTTATCTTAACAAACCCACAAATTGCTGATCTGGCAATACCAATCGCACTGTAGGTTATCCCTTTTGAATATAGGTGAGACAAAAATGCTATCACTGTTGCTACAAGGGGTTTAAAGGGATCGTGTTTCCCTTCACAGAAATGAAACCATTGTTTAAGATATGTTTGATACTGTTTCCTGGTTGTTCTCCGCCACGAATTAATGATAATCTGCTGAGCTTCATTTGAAATCCCTCTATCTTCAAGCGCTTTCCTGATAAGGGAAAAAGCGCCAGCCTCATCTTTTTTAATGGGTGTTTCTTTCCCGGTCGATGGCACAACGTAAGGATGTCCTGAGGGTGCTGAAGTAGAAGGCATGGTGCAACAATAAGTTGTATTAATGTCGGCCACCATGTCTGTGCAGGCCATATTGGTGCTACTAAACACAGTAGTTCTGTTTGATCTATTTCTACTTTTTGCAGGACCCTGCCTATTACACTGAAAGGTGGAAAACAATAATAACAATTATCATGCCATGAGAATGAAAAAGCGTCTATAGCAAAAGCATTTGGGTCAGGTTGTCTTGAAACATACGTCGGAAACTTGTTATTTAAGCGAGATGCAAATAAATCTATATTTAAGGACGGGAAAGACCGACAAATTGCTGTGAACATCTCAGGTGATATACTCCATTCTAAATCTTCATTTCCAGTACGACTCAGTTTGTCTGCCGTGCGGTTCAATGACCCCGATATATGATGTGCTGACAACAAAATGTTTCTTTGAATACACCAATGCCAGATATCGCGCGCAATTTTATTCAATGAATCTATTCTTCCCCCGTAATTATTTATGTATGATACACTCGTAGTGTTATCCATATAAATTTTTATATAGATATTTCTGTTGTGTTTAAAAAGCGACAATAGCCCAACTTGACACGCTTTTAATTCTAACACATTGATATGTTGATTTTGTTCTTCCGCCGACCAAAAACCATTTGTTCGTCTATTTTCTGTTTTATCATACGCGCCCCACATATGTCCCGAAGAATCAGTAAACATAATGTTATTCGGGTCAGGCGATGTAATACTTTTGAAACATGAATGTATATGAGTGATCCACCATCGCAAATTTTCCAAAATATCTGGCGTGATTGTAAAAAAACTATTAAAATTACCCTTATGGTTTTTCAGTTCCCTTTCTTTATGTCGTTCTAAAGGTTTTATGTACAACGGAGCATGCATAACCCCCGGTGATGCTGCAACCAGTTTTCCAAAATTTTTGAATTGTTATTCGCCGGCATGTTATTATGTTATTGCAAAGCTCTGTGATATCATCACATTTTTCCTTTGTTAATCTTATTGTCATTGTTTTAGAGCACAGCACAAATCCCAAAAATACAATCTTTTTCGACGGAACCAGGACAGATTTACCCATTGAAATTGTAAATCCTAACTTGTCTAATAAATCAATTGTTTCGCTGATATTTCGAGCACAGGCGGAGTATGACTGACCTTGCAAACATGCGTCGTCGATGTAAATTGAACTTAAATGACCCCGCGCTCTTAAATGAGAAAAAACTGGCTTCATCAGTTTAGTGAATATCATAGGGCTTTTTGCAAATCCCATCACAAGCGCTGTAAATTGATATTTTACACCTTCGAAAAAGAAACGAAAATACCGTCTGTCCCGTTCGTATATAGGTATAGTGTAAAAAGCATCAGAAATGTCGACCTTGCCGAAATAACAATTTTTCCTCATTGCTGTGGTCACTGACCCCAAAGTTTCCATTTTAAAATGTATTTTGCTGACGTAGTTGCTATTGAAAGATTTTAAATTCAAAATAATTCTAATCCGTCCGTCTGATTTTGGTCTTGTGAATATATTCGAAATGTATTCTCCGTCCAAGTTTTCGTCTGCAAGTTCTATTATTCCTTGATTTAAAAACCGTGTAATTTCAAACTGTATTGCTTGTTTTTCGTTTTCTTTAAAATTAAATGGTTTTGGAATTTTATACTGAAAAGGAGTTGCTGACAGCTGTACCCGATAACCGTCTACAGTTTCTAGTATCCATTTATCTTTGGTTATTTTTCTCCACTCATTCAACGCCATTCTGGTCTTCCCCGCCCGAAAATTCTGTGAAGTATTTATAATGGTAGAGGAATATTTCATATTATGATTACTTACTTCGGATATTAATTTTTCTGTGCTCTTGATTGGAAAGTATTCTTTTTCTGCTGTTTTGTTCTGTAATTGTGATTTTGACGCCGTCGCTGTAGATTGAAATTCATGTTGCCCTGTGAATTGAGCGCATGTTTCCGTTTGTGCTGAGGTACCAGGGTCGCCATGCCCTGGCGTTTCCCTAAAAAAGAACGCCTGGAAGTACATGTAAGTTGCTGCTTATTGTCCCTTAACTTTTTAAGTTCTTCATCTACTTTATCGCCAAACAGATGAGTGGCAGATTGGTTTGCTGAACAAATTGGCCTATAAAGCGGGAGAAGTTCTTTCTTTATCCTGTCACGTCTCATCTGAGAAGTAGTGACAAAAGCATTGGTTAACAGTTTGAAAGTATCCCCAATCAACTCTTTCATTTTTGGTCGTCCATCTGTCTTTAACTCATCCATGGTCTTCAATACCGGTACCAAAGCAGACGAAAAAAATTTCTGTGTCCTCTGCAACAGAAAATCCTGTGCTTTAACTTGAGATGGCAACTGTCGCCACAACTGCTCATTCACCAAAGGTACTTGTAGAAATTCTACATTGTTAGGCCTCTTGTGTGTGTCCAAAAGTTCCTTTATTTTTTCTTCTTTCGGTTGTACCTGCAAAGCTTTATTGCTCAAAGTGGCTAGTTTGTCACTTATCGCCGCTCCTGTTTCTGAGGCATCCTCGAAGAAATCCACCATGCAGAATTCATCATCATCATCATCATCATCATTTCCGTCGGTGACCCCAGATTCGGTGAAAAAATCTCCCACGCTTTCGTGATCTGAGCCTGAATCATCCCTCGTGCAAAAACGTTTCGAAGTTGATGTTTCTTCGCAGGTAACTGCAGTTCTTTTCAAAGAATTTACGTCAGACCTCATTTCAGTCAGAGAATCCGTTAAACCTTTTATTGCATTTTGGATGTCTTCTAACTGACTAGAAGATCCTGCAAGTGTCCCGAATTTTTCAAATATATTGGGAATATTGGACTGGTTGTTTCCGACCTCTTGATCGTCGGCCATGATCCTGAAAAATGTTTTTTAAACATTTCTAGCAGCAGTCCATTTAAGCAATAAAATGAAGAAGAAACATATATAAACGATTAGAATTTAATCGCAGTCAGGCGTAAATAACGCCGTGAAATAGATATCTACATAAATCATTAATTCGTCCCTCTGTGATATGCAAGACGCCTGATTTTTTTTTTATTATTATTATCATTATTATTATTATTATTATTATTATTATTATTATTATTATTATTATTATGTATGTCATGTTGCATGAACACGCCCTATTGCAAACAAATATATAATTTGTCTGTAATGTTCAGACCATTTTAGCTTTTCCATGGTGTTTGGATAAGCATAATTACGAACAAATGTATCTTTTGTCTGTGGTGTTCAGACAGTTTTAGCTTTTCCATAGTGTTTGGATAAGCATAATTACGAACAAATGTATCTTTTGTCTGTGGTGTTCAGACAGTTTTAGCTTTTCCATGGTGTTTGGATAAGCATAATTACGAACAAATGTATCTTTTGTCTGTGGTGTTCAGACAGTTTTAGCTTTTCCATGGTGTTTGGATAAGCATAATTACGAACAAATGTATCTTTTGTCTGTGGTGTTCAGACAGTTTTAGCTTTTCCATGGTGTTTGGATAAGCATGATTTCATTACGAACAAATGAGTCTTTTGTCTGTGGTGTTCAGACAATTTTTGCTTTTCCATGGTGTTTGGATAAGCATGATTACGAACACTGTATCTTGTTTTGCCTGTGGTGTTCAGACATTTTTTTTTTGTATTTGGCAGCAGTGTTCAGACAAAATTGGCTAATAAATATTGTTGTTATAAAATGTATAACTACAAATGAATATATTGTCTGTGGTGTTCAGACATCAAACAAATACGAGTTTTTTTTTTTTTTTTTTTTTTTTGACAAAAAATTAAACGATTTTAAGTATAAACTTTAAATATATACAAATAAATTAAACATACCTCTTATCACACTTTTCTTAACTGCTTAATTAATATCCACAAATGAAACACTTGTTAGTCCTAAATAATTACACTATAATAATTTAAACTTGTGAAAAATACGACAGGCTTTACTTTAATTAAGAACAATTATACGTCTTGACCGTAGCTGCTAATGCCTCGTTATGACCACTGGCTGCTGATAGCTGCGTCTTCTCTCTGTGGGGCCCATTAGTGAGTTTATATGTAGGATGAAATGTTAAATCGTCTAGATGTTGATTGTATATAAGAACAGTTTTCAAACCTTTAACGTTTTTTATACACCTGGTAGCCTCATATAATTCTCATTCACTTCTCGTTGATTTAATTATGATCAAACAGGATTCCTCTTCCAAACCACTAACTGCAATTACTGGATTTGACTTTTTATAACAAGGCATGTCTAAGCCATTAAGCATATGTTAATTTTACTTCCACGAAACGCTTGTATGATTTACTTTCCTGTTAAGCAAGAAGAGTAAGAAGGTAAATGGGATGATCTTTTAACAATATAACCATTATAAAAGATTAATGCTCAACCACTATGTCGGATACTAACTAATTTTGTGATATATTTTGGTAATCATGCAACTCCTTCTGGAAATAAATCATTTTTCTGCAATGTTGCCTTATGGAAATCTGGTATATTTATGATATACAATAGGAGAACATAAACCTCACAATTTGTTAAAGTAAAGTTTAATGATACAGACTGTCATAAAAGATACATTGAACAGAGACATTGAACAATTGACATCTGCCTGTCTCCAATCCATTTTTGTAGTACTATTCTGAGAGATCTGTTATATAACAGAAATAACGATGCTGTAATAAATTATCCATCCGTGTTATAAAAACGCTGAGTTTAGTTTGTCGGTATCAATCTTTTCTACTCTTTCATAATCTGTGTTGTTATGAACACAAGATCTTTACACGTGGTCTGTTTAGTTTTTCCGTAAGTATTATTTTTTCAATCAAACTTCAGTGTTGTTAGATTTTCTGGTCCTTCTGGATCATTGATTATAGCACAGCAGTGTTGAAGTTTGATTACTTCTTAAGCAGATGACAGGGGACGTAAGAGATTGTGCACACTCATGATCTGCACACTCATTATCTGACATTGATTAAATTTGTTTAAGATGTAAAAAGACAACAAAACTTTTACAAGTCAGAACATGAATCAAACAAACTTGCAATTTTCATAAAATAATATTGTTTTCATTGCTTCTGGATGGATCACCTTTTTTGTACTCACATAGCGTTAAAGGTTTATCGGTCATGTGACACATGCTTCCGGTAATTGTGTCTAATAATTGTAACAATACAATAATGTAGTAACATGTCGATATATTTACCTGCTCTTTCTGCGTATTAAAATGGTGTAGAGGTATTCATTTTGCATTTACATTTTGGCATTATTACCGTCAATCGTCAGTAAGTGTTCCGAGATAAAATATCATATCAGTGCAAAATATATCACAAACATTGGAAATGATAACAAATCTCCGGATTTATCACAAAACAAAGTCCCTGCGGTAAATCAGCTTCTATCAGACAGCCTGAAAATATTTCTTTTCCTAGATTTTTAACTTCATTTAAAATAAAATTAAACTGCACCGTTTGCAAAAGGCTATCGTACCTGAGGATTCTGAGTGTGGAGTTCCCGTCTCAGTAAATTGTATCAGAAAATGTTTGTTATGCTTTTCATTTTTTTTTTATCTTCACGTCCACACGAGTTGTTACTTTATGTACTTGAGAGGAATAAGTGTAATTATTTTAAACTGTTTTCAAATCCAATCTTGATTTTTTATTAATGTTTATGTAATAATGCGAATTACTATGGTTTGTTATATTATTGGCAAGTTGTAGTAATGGTGAATGCCACTAAATGATGTTTTGCTATATCTTTGAAAAATGCTAGAAACTAGGGTAAGCAATCATTATATTATTTCCGGCATAAATACAAACATTGATACTTCATTTAATGAAACAACAGCAGAATCTGACTTCGAAGTTGACTTGAGATGATTTTAAAAATGTTTACGATCTTCGTTGACAATAAAGTGACAGCATAAAACAAATAAATATCATGGTTTCAGAAACCCAACACGAGTGTGTTTGCACTGACCATTTACATGTGATGGACACATATACTGCCTCTATCTAATCTTTTGTAACCATTGTTGTCTTCTGTCTAAACTCATTGAATCTGCTAACCGCTAAATGAAACAAACAGATATGATGAGTGATTATAGTACATAATTGCATTCTATTCAGAACAAAACGCTTAGTATCTATTCGGTATCACAAGAAGTTGTTTAACAGTTACCTGTCTGATTCTAAAACAAATTGTTTTATGCAAACATCTGATGGAATTGCACACCTGTTGACATCGTAAAACTCTCACTAATGTGATCAAACAACTTTATTCTCTTAACAATTTAACTACCCAACTTGTTGATCAAATGCACATAGCTACCATATTACATGTATGAATCATATTCAGAATATAAAAGTATTAAAGAAAACAGTTAAAGCAGCGATAAATTTGATCTGCGCTGGGAAGAACCATTTGCCTCCAACAGACTTTACGTTGCACGTAAAAAGTTTGAATCATTTTTTTACACATAAGATTTATAATATTTATGCGCTTAGCTGGTAGGAGAACTGTAAGAATTTTAAAAAAATTATAATACTAATAGAGTTTGACTTAGATTGAACTGTATTTATTCTGTCAAATGAACTTATCAAAGATTTGCATTTTACAACAAAGTAAGTCTGTATAAGTAAACAAGTAAAAATACTGACAACAATCTTTCTCTTGTGAGCAAAATTGATTACATAGAGTAACTTATATTGTCTTCTACCATTTGATGTGTCGAGAATCCCATACTAAGAAACATGAGGTCGCCTTAGAGAATAAATATTTGTACGACATCCTACAACAGTCTTTCGTTAACTTTTCAGATTAATATGTTAACTTAAATAGGTTTGAAATCTAGAAAAAGAAGTATTTTGATCTCTCTGATAGAAAGCTGATTTTCCTAAGGGGATTTGTCGGTGATAAAACTGTAGATATGTTATCAATTGAAAGAGATGATCCAATGTTTTTGAAATGTTTCGCACTGATGTTTTATCTAGGAATGCTAATTGACGTTAGTCTGATGCCATTACAAGACAAATGTCAATACTTGAATGCATACCTAATGCCTTTTTACGATAATTATGATGCGCAGAAATTAAAAGTAGACATCAACATGCTTCTATTATGTTTCTTTGAAATTTAAATGATCTGTTTTCAGACAGATTTTTATTACCTGGTACACGTTCAACATGCATTTTATAAGAGACTGTTAAGTTTTTATACACGTTACGTATCATTTCGGTATCAATGAATTAGCTTATTTAATAGGTATACATATAATAACTAACATATAATTACAATTTTGTGCCGAGGTCAGTGCAGACTTATCTGAACATGTACAATTATAGATATAACGACGCACTGCGCTCATTTGTTATAACACAGGTAGACCATTTGTTAAAGAATTATGATGACTGTTTATAACCACTTTGTTTACAAATTATACTCAGCAGACATTTGCAGATATCCCTGAATTCTGCTACAAAAATGTCTCTGTTTGATATCTCTTTATTGACACTTATATATTGAATGTATGTCTCATTACAGTACAGGATAAGATATATGATTTATGTTACCCTATCAATATACCTTCGCATTTATTAAAGATTGCCTTAGGTAATATTACAGAATACAACTTTATTGAATCTAGATTACGATTACAAATTGTGTAATACGTATGTCAGTCATTTTTGATTGTATAAATCTAATTTAACCTAATTAAACTATGTTTTTGTTGTTTGTTTTTTTTAAAAGCTACATAAAAAGATAATGCAATGTTACAATCATAAAATTTGTATGATCTAGCAGATTTTACCCTAATTCAGTCTGGAAGAAGAATCCAGACAATGGCTCAGATTTACTATGTAATAAACGTTGAAACAAATTATCGTTGAAAGTTGCTTAGTTTGATCTTAATTATATCAACGAGAATTAAATGAGAATTTTATGAGGCTACCAGGTGTATAATTGATGTGCAAACAGTTTTAACATCTAGACAAATTAATATGATAGTACACCTGAAAAACTTGTTGCACAGGTATGTCTAGAATTTACCAGTTTCAAACTAAAGTCTATATTTTATAAAAATAAAATAAAGAAGTAACGTATTAAATCGGACAAGACATTATTACATGTCATAAGCACGACATGAATGTGAATTATTGCTATAATACATGTGTAAGTAAAAACATCTGACCCAACTACACAATATTATAAGACATGAACAGATACAACCTCTGGGGTGAAAAATAGATATTCACATTCGTAACAACTTAATGATAATGAAAGACCGTATATTGAGTGATTCTTTTACAAAACGTTATCCGGTAATTTAGAAGCAAATTGCTTTTCACGCTCTACTTTATTGCGCCTAAATTTTTATATTAAACATATTATTGAATAAATATTTATTTTTCTATTTATTGCTGTGTACACAGATGAGTTTTATTTGCCGTCTTTCTCACAATACCTATTTGTACAGTTTCAACACTTTCAGCTTATCAATCGAAGATATGATAGTTGATGATAAACAACATTGTTTGACATCTTGATTTACACCTTTACACTTCCAAAACCCTGTACCACTGACATAGAAATATTCAGCTAGATCGGATATCTTATCACCCACATCGTCTTTATCTAAATGTCTTAAAGCTTAGATACCAGTAATACTGTTGATTTATAGCTGGGGCAGTCGGAGTCTTGGGTCGTTTTTGTGTGTGTTTTTTTGTACTTGCATTAGACACAACGGTGTGTGCGACGAACAATTAGAAGTAGTTAATGTATATAATTAACAATGTTTACATTACTGATGTATCTCATTAGTTATGGAAAGAACATGCATGCGATTCGGATAAAACAAGCATATACACCATGCCTTGATAAAAGTTAACGGATAAGCACAATAAATGTGGGCTGACATTTAAAAATCTTATGTGGCATCACCGCCCAAAAAATAAATGTTATCGTTTAAACAAATGAATTTCTGTATATATATAAGTAAACGATTACAATTAGTTTCACATTTTGTTTGCATTAAGTATATTTTAAGCGAAAAATAAACAGAGAAAATTAAAT